CAAACGAGCAACTAGTTGAGTCCCACGGGTAAGCGCTTTCTTCCGTGTTGAACAACAGACAGCCGGCGAGTACCATGTACTGCTGGCTCCGGATACTACCCGTGAACTCCACTGAGTAATACAAGTATGAAACCACTCCACCACAAATTCGACGAGATCTCGAGATCTTCACAGTGAAAAAGAAACTTTCGCTCAACCTTCTGTGCGATTGGAAGGGAAGCACTGCCATCACCTTGACGAACTGCATGAGGTGGTTGACCATGTCTGAATCTTTATCGTCGGGCGCGATTCGGCTTCCCGATCAGTACGGTGTCGAGCGTGTTGCCTTTGCGTTACTCCCTCCCATAGGAAGTCTTGCGGTTTATTTTCATTTCAAATAATACACATGGAAGACTACCTTAACGGTTCCGTACTTTCTCACAGCATCGTCGTCATACTTGATAGGCTCGAGATCAGATAGAATCGATTCGGGGATCGTAAGCTGAGATAGTGTAGCGATACGACGAATTGAGTCGTAGCCCTAGGATAACATTACGAGGTCAAGCTGTGGAAACCATGAACAATAAACGACAAACTCGGTGAAAAATTGATCCTCACCATTATAGGCATGATTCCAGGAATGATTGGAACTGTGATTCCTATTTCACGACAGTCACGTACGAATTCTTCGAATACCTTCAACAATCAAATAGGGGCCTGTAGGGTAAGATATAAAAAGACGTGGTTTTCTTTACCTCAGCTTCGAAAAATAGCTGGGTGATGATGAACTGAGCGCCTGCGTCACATTTTGACTTCAAGTACAGCAAGTCCGCCTTGTACGATGGGGCTTCAGGATGACCGAGTGGATAGCCTAAAAACCGAATATGAAAACAGAGTTATAAGTGGCACTAATTATCAATTGGTTGACCATTTCGATCAGCACTCGTTATTTTTAACCGTCATTGACCTTTGAGCGCTCAGAGAGAAACGCGATCAGCAGATAAGAACATAGCGCGATTTTCTCGTAAAACATCACAAAACTCGAACAAAGTACAATGGTGAATCGTCGCTGACAAGTAAATTAAGACCTT